TAGTGCATTGTTTATATTATAGTAATATTTGCCAGGGTGAGGAGGACGAGCTTCCTTTTACGTCGTCTTCAACACCTCTTGCAAGGACTGCACCTATCCAAATTCCTGCATCGCAACCTCAACAGGTTCGTTGTTCTCATTGTGCAATTGTCTTGATGCGAAGTGGTTTGGTATTTATCTCTGCTGCATATAATCTCATTTAGTTGTCGGAGAAGTCAAGCCACTTTAGCACTCCTGATGACCACTTTCACACCGCTGACTCAATTGAAGATAGAGTGAGTTTCTCATTATGTTGCTGAAGAATAGCGTTGTAGCATTGGTTCCAGCTGTTTCATATTTTGTTAGTTTCAGTCCCATCTTTATGAAGTCGGACAGAATGTCGGGCAGAGTATATGTAATAATGGGAGAACATATAGGCAAACACAATGCCATCATTTTTTCGAGTGACTCACAATCACCTAACTATCAACCTTTGGCGTTTGCCGCCGCACTCAGCATTTGTGATGGGTTGAATTCGTGGAATAGCTGTTCTCATTCTTGGTCTAGGTCGTTTTTCGGCTCAAGGGAGGATTCCGCGACAGGGTCTGAGGTCTGAGAAAGGAAAATGTACCTAGTCGAAAGGCAGCTGGGACCCTCAAAGGTCGGGACGATGCGGGATCGACAGCGAAGGGCAAAACCATAACCCTAACGGCATAGTTGCCCATATCAGCGCCGCGGCACGCCCACCCTCTCGCCGTCTGACTCTAGCCGTTTAGCAGAGAGAGCGTTAGCGTTGAAGAGGGCAGCACCGATGAGAGTCGCATCAATGCGGAAATCAAGGCAAAGAAGGGTCCATTTCTCGGGTTCTGGCCGTTTCTCATGGTTTTTTTTCCTAATCCCTGTACCACTGACCACCCCACGTTGATTTTCAATGGGCTGCCTTTTCATCGTAACTCGGCCTAAACGAAAGTAGAAAGAGCATTTGGGGTTCGCTATGTACGGAGATGCTGCAGCTGATAGTGTTCTCGGATCAGTTTGCCGATTCCGAACTTGTCAATCTGGACATTACTCCTCCTCAACCATTCGCAGTTGCTCCGACTGTTTTTCGACCTCGGGGGTACACGGAATGGGGCAACTTTTGAAAAGCATGTTTTTCACCGTCTGAATTTCTATTGAGGCAGATTTTACGATGAAAAGGCAGCCTAGAAAATTAAGTAGAGATGGTAAGTGATGCACGAAAGAAGAAAACCAAAGAAAAACGGTTATGGGACCCCTTTCTTGCCCATTAATTTCTGTATTGATGCGACTTTCATCGGTACTGCCCTCTTCAACGTTATCGCTGTAAATGCTCATCGACTAGAATCAGGCGGCGAGAGGGGGCGTACCGCGCAGATAGCGCTGCGGGGAAGGCTATGCTAGATCGTCATGCCATACTCGATGTAAATTGCGTGAAAGTGATGTGAGTTCGTTCGAGTATTTGAGAAAATGGTGCAATAATCTGGTAGAGAATCGAGAGATTCATTGAATGAATACCTACTTTACCGGTTTTTCAGAAAAATGGAAGTAAAAACAAAATATAAAAACGATGGGGAGTTACCTCGCATTCAGTAGATACACAAAGTCTCATTCATTTCTATCTTTTTCTACGTTTTCTTTTCTAGCAGTTTGTCATCGACGATTTGACGAGCCGCTCCCAATTATCCCAGGAGTTCCTGAAGCATGTTGCTGCCCAAATCGTTTCCATATCGAAGGTATTTCTTTGGCATCCACGTTTCGTTGTTATATTGCTAGATATCAATCAATTCGGAATAAGGCAAGACTGAGAAGGGCGACCGGCCTAACCTCAGCGTTTCGGTACCTTCTCGAAAGCGCTCTTCTTATTCTATAAGTTTCCAGTTAGCCTTGGAAATCTTCAAAAAGTTGATTGCGAAGGAAGTCATGAACGTTTGAAGAAACCGTTTTGCCAACCATTTTTGGGAAGAAAACAACTATATTCTTCCAAATTTTTGCATTCTGTCCTATGAGAATTGCTACTGAAAATAACCTTTTGAATGAGAACTTAGCAATTACTGCTGGACTTTCTTTTCACCTTATAAAAGGGGAGTTAAAGGCAAGATTCAAGCTTAAACTGATGAGGTAATTCTACTCAAATGTGATGTAGGGGTGGGAGGTGGACCGCCAGTGGAGAAAAAAGGAAAAAAAATCGTGAAATACACAGGAAATACGAGCCTTTTGCTCTACGTTGCGGAGAAGTTCAAAAGGCCGGCAGGGAGATGAGAGATAATGTGAGCGCGGAGAGCGGTAGAGAAATCCGAGAAGAGAGAGCATAGCAGATCAAGCATTGCGACGCAGACAAAAATATCGAGCGGTGGGCGGAGCGTGTCGCAGCGCGTGCTGTGCGATATGAGACGTAGTATGGTACACTCTATTTAACCTGACGCCTAACCGCTACAGTATGCGCTGCGACTCGTCCTTTGCCGCGTCTGCGTCTCTTCCTTCGCCGCGCGATGGGCCTCTTGGGGGACACCCGACGTTCTCAACTATCGTACGAGCGCTAATGGTGTCATTGGGTATGCGGTCTCGGAGCGTTACACCGCACATGGCCCTCTCCATGGCTCGCTGTGTGACTGCGAGTTTCTCCTCTTCAGAGACTGTGGTGCTCCACGTCTCCGCCCCGTAGGTCATCGCGGGAACATGCGAGTTGAAGACGTGAGCTTTGACCTTGGGGTCGACGTGCTTAGAAGTTAGTACATCTCGAAGTTTATTGAAAGCGGTCCAGCCCGCTCTGCGGCGTCGGCTAATCTCGAGCGTGAGATCGTTATTCATGTTGACCGCTTTACCGAGATATACGTAAGAGGAGACTCGCTCGATCTCCTGGCCTTCTAGGAGGATCGGCTGGTACTGAACTTGTTCGTTGTGCATCCACTGAGTCTTGCCGGGATGAATTTGTAGTCCGATTTTGCCGGCTTCCTGCCTGATGAGGCTCAGGGATTGCGCAATGTCGGCGGGGTCCTCGCCTATCAGAACACAGTCATCAGCGAAGAGGAGATGCGTTAAGCGAACGCCGTCGATGTTCACTCCTCCGGGCAACGAGATTCGCCTCATGATGTTCTCGAGCGCAATAGCGAACAAGTTCGGGGACGTAACCTCGCCTTGTCTGACGCCGCGCCGGATTTGAACACGGACCGGTGTTCTGATGAGTTTGATGTTGGTATAACAGTCCGTAGCGCTGCCGTAATATAGGTTTTGGATCGGTCTGTCGTCCTCGGTCTGCTCCGTCTCTGCCGCTGTGTAACCATTCGAGAAATTCTTCTTTTATATTTGAATTCTGAAAAAGGGCGTCACGTGAAGCTTCGATCCGGTGGGCGGTCAGTGGGTCATTTTTGAGTGGGAAAGCAATTCAAAATACTGACGATTTATTGTGGTTTGGGAGACTGCTTTCGCTCACTTCAAATTAGTGCCTAGGGTAAGCAAGCGTTCGAACGATCCAAGGCAAAGTTCGGGCTCAGACCCACTTAATGAGCCTTTACGGTGGCTAGAAGCGCTAGGTACGCAAGTGCAGAGGTCGCGTCACTTCCCTACTTCGAAAAGCGTTATTTAGACGCTAGGCGCTAAGAACTTTGACACGCTCCACCTGTTGCGACACGCTCCGCCCACCGCTCGATATCTTGTCTGCGTCGCTTTGATCTGCTATGCTCTCTCTACTCGGACTTCTCTAGCGCTCTCCGCGCTCACATTATCTCTCATCTCCCTGCCGGCCTTTTGAACTTCTCCGCAGCGTAGAGCAAAAGGCTCGTATTTCCTGTGTATTTCACGATTTTTTTTTTTTTTTCTCACTGGCGGTCCACCCCTACCCTACTTTCACATTTGAGTGGAATTACCTCACATAATTTAATCCTGAATCTTGCCTTTCAAGGTTGGTAACTGTCTATCTTGGTAACTATGTGGATGCAACGTAACAGGGCGTCCTTGAACGCATTAGCAAAGCTCTTCATTACTCTTTTTCAGGATGTCGTGGCCACTCTAAGGAAAAAGGATGCTGAAATAGAAGAACTACGTCGAAAATGTGAAGCGTCATCCCGTGAGCTTGCTGAGAAAACTGTTAAGATTAAAAGGTGCGCAAACATATAGCAGAAACGTAGCGTACCCTTTAGCTCCTTGTTTTTCGGGTTTTCCTTAGGCTTTCGCAGGATCCGACATCAATCGCAAGAAAAATGTAAACGAAAAGCTTGTATCATTCACCAGTATCAATCGATTTCTCTACTGATTATTAAAACTAACTGCGCACGTAAGACTCGTCGTTACTTTCTGTTACCAATAAACTTTCGTGCACCATAGTTTCAATTAGAAGGGCAAGTCCCCAAGTAGGAAACCGAGCAGAAAGTCGGGGGGGGGGCAGATTCCGCTATTGGTTCACTGTATAAATTATTCCGAGGAGACGTACTGACAAGGAATGTCCTTCAGGTCGCCATGGCCGTTCTACATGAGATGTATACCACTCTATGCATTCTGACACGCTGATTTCGAATCTGCCTTCCAAATCTGCTAAACGACTCTCCGAACGGAGTTATGAAGCGTAATAGCTCAGTGGTGATGGTCCGGGGTGGCAGGTAAAAGCTCGTAGGATCGGTTCCTTTGCAAGTTTGTTGCTTTGCTTTTGTCCGCAACACTTCTAGAGACAAAAGCAAAGCAACCAATTTGCAAAGGAACCGATCCTACGAGCTTTTACCTGCCACCCCGGACCATCACCACTGAGCTATTACGCTTCATAACTCCGTTCGGAGAGTCGTTTAGCAGATTTGGAAGGCAGATTCGAAATCAGCGTGTCAGAATGCATAGAGTGGTATACATCTCATGTAGAACGGCCATGGCGACCTGAAGGACATTCCTGAGTTCTCAGGCCACTTTACAGTCACTTCCTCGTTTCGAAACGCGTGGTAAAAGCGCAAAGGCAGCATTTCCATTTCAAATTAGAACCCGTTGTGAATGGATCACATTGCCAGACTCAAGGTTGTGTACACTACTTGTGTAGCATGAGCCAAAAATTCTTGCATTCTTTCTCAACATGAATGTATCAGTTGTGATCACTGGATGCAATACACAAAGTTTACGCATGAAGGTTCGGTTTCCGAAGAGAAACAAACTCACGAAAATCCATTCTATGGACAATCGAAGGTAATTCGGGCGGAGCCAAAGGCGGGGCATGGAATAAGTCCGCTTGGGCGCCTACGTATCAGGCGACGCAATGAAATCGGGTTAAAGCGTGCGATTTTGGAGAGTAGAGACAAATCGATCGATAGAATAGGATGGAGTAGAAGTGTGAGATGTGAATGCAATAAGTCAAAAGGCCAGAAAGAGTTTCTAGTGAGGCACTCCAAGAACCAAGTGGAAGCATCCCCGTCGCCAGCATTTGTGACAGATTTGCAGGGGTCCCCACAGGAGGCCCGTCGCGCGGCAAGAAGGCAGAGGGGCGGCCCATGTCGCACACCACGCGCTGCAACTCGTCCGCCCCTCTGCCTTCTTGCCGCGCGACGGACGAGTTGCAGCGCGTGGTGTGCGATGTGGGACGTGCAGTGGGACACTATTTAACTTGACGCGAAATCCCTATAGTACGCGCGCGACTCGTCCGCTGACTTTGCCTTCTTGCCGCGCGACGGGCCTCGTGGGGTACCCGATTTGCAGCGGTAACTTTGACGCGTAGCAGCCCTTTCGATTTTTTTTTTTTTTTTACCAAAACAAATGCAATTTTTCTGTTCTTTTCATTCTTATCGTGGATGATGGGTCTCAAGCCAGTGAATTATGGCTGAAATTGAATCATGATTTTCCCGTGAAGGATTCCTGTAATCGCATTTTATTCATATTTCAATGCTTCGTACACTATCCTAAAGTGCTTCACAAATCTTGCTTTCCTGCTTATATTAGAACAATCGGTTCAGAGGTGACACATACATATAGGACTGCTTCTTGTGTTTGGGCTCCTCTACTTTATTTTATAGTTTTTGTGACTTTTAAGGCATCATGTTTTTTCAGGCTTCAAAGTGAAGTGGATGCCTTGAAAGCAAAGGCAGAAGACGCAAAGAGTAAAGCCTTTGTAGAGGAGACTGCGGCGAAACTGGAAAAAGGCCTCATGAACACTGGAATGAAAGAACTCACAGAGGTACGTACATATTTGTCTTTATTTCCGGAAAATGAGATTCCCACTAACATCTTCTCTGTGTGAAGATCGAGTTTAAATATTATGTTGGAGCGTTTGAGATTTTGTAGGGTCGTAAATTGCAGATCGCAAAATAAGAACTGTCAATTTCATGTTGACCTTTCAAGTTATTAGTGCTTGTCAGTTTACAAGAATGGTCTTTGTCAGAAAGTCGAAGGCAGTGGAATTTTCGCCACGTGGAAGCAGGCACGATTCTGCGGCGCGAAGTACCACTGAATGGGTTAATGTGTTGCAGTTCGCATCCACCTCACTCTCTGTGAGGGGCTCTCACTCAACAGCATGTAGCATCTGAGCGAATGACTTCAAAACTCCTTTCATGGATCGTTGATTAGAACACGGAAGGAAGTTTGAGTTCATCATCATTAGGCGAATGCAGCTATGTTCATCTTATTGCAAGTGACTGAACCAACATAATCAAATACGTCAGTTAACAATGGGCTTAAAGGCACGGGTCACCATGGAATCGGTATGCAATTTTTTTTCAAAAATTCGAGAAAAGTGCGAAGAGGAACGTTAGTGGAAAAACATAAAGGATATCATTAGAAAGCACTGAAAATTGTCTTGTGATCGACCGTGGTAAGGCGGTGAGACACAGCGCTGCGAGGAGAGGGAAGACTCGAGAGCACGTCGTACTCAAGAGGGCGCAGGCGCCACGTATGCTGCAATTGATAGGGATGACAGGGTTGCAACGGTCAAGCAAAGGCATCAGCTCCCTGTCGCGCAGTTTCGTCGTGACAACATCACCACCCCGGGATAAGGGGTCCTGTTTCCTCACTCAAGGAGGGAATCGTGCTAAGGATCTAATCGCGACCCCTGCCACGGCCTCATGTTCAAGCCAAGGATATTTCCAATGTAACTTTATAATAGGTATCTATTGAAACACTTCATTCAACCACTTTTCAGGGTACCCTTGAGCCATCCACGAGAAAGAAATCGCAGAGGAGGGAAGAGGGTTCAGCTGCAACAAGACATGAACTCGATTACGAAAGGAAATTTTTTCAGCAGAAAATTGTGGGTCATCGTCTAATCATTTTCATGGGTGTGAACTTCGTTGTTAACGTTGATTTTTGAAGAATTTTTCGATGAGGTGGTTAGCGGCCGAGCGCAAGCGATTGAGAGGCTGCACTGTTTCAAGAGCAGCTGAACGCCACACTGCTGGCGAGTTCATTGACAACAACGAAAAGGCTTCCTCAATTCTCGAGCGAGGTTTGTTACGTATGTGATGAACAAATGTTTTTTTTCGTTTATTCTCAAGTAAGATCCAAAGGGTTTTTATAAGGTCCTTTTAGAAGCTGGAAGTCGAAATAGCGTTGCGACACAAACCGAATCTGCGACACTAGGAGGTGGAAATGTCGAAAGCAATAAAGGGTGTGGTTAACAACTATTTTCCGCAGCCTTCTCCCATGCTTGATCTTTTACAGCCGGATCTACGATATGAAGGAAAGCATATCCACGCAAGAACTGGTTCATGTTTCCGAGTGCGGGACCACGTAAGTCCTTTTTTATTGACCGCCGAGTAAACGCTGAGCACATCTTCTTGGTTTTTTGAAGGGGGTAAGTATTTGAGTGGTTGTTGAGCTTATTGCAGAAGGTAAAGGTGGTTGTGGAAGTAGAAAATGCGGTTGTTGAGCTGTAAGAGAAGTTTAACGGCACGTTGACGACATCGCATGTTTTGGCATTTTGCACCGCGTGGGACAGGAGCGATTTTGCGAGCGCGCCGTCCTCACCTTACTTCCGCTTATTTTTTGTTTAAAATGCACAACAACTTGAATCTCATAGAATTATTTCGGCAAGGATGAAAGCATAAAGGTTAACTATATAAATAGCAGTAGATTTTTGTTTAGAAGAACGCATAATGACCACGAAGAAGCAAAAAACATCACTTTCGCTGCGAATGAAGTTAAAAGCATTTATACCTAAGTTCTTCCATCAAATACAAATATCTTGAAACTCACAGAGTTTTGTATTAACTGCTTCTACAATCTTTCATATGAATGTTACGACAGTGAAAGGAATACTAGGAAAGAATTGAATGAAAGTTTTGTGCGTTCAGAAAATCTTTGCTAAATCAAGGGATATTTGACCACTCTGGCTGCCATGTGGTTTATAGTTATGCTAATGTATTATCTATAGAATGAATACAAAAACTCGAGAAGAAGGAGCGCAAGCACAATAAAAATGAATGACATAGTTCTGACGCGCATGCGCGTCAGAATGTCCGATGCGGTGCAAAATTTCTGACGCGCATGCGCGTCAGCCTGTCGTCAACGTGTTAAAACACAAGCTGATGTTTTGCCAAAATTTGGCAAGGGTTCCTGATTTCAGTGCACCTTTGCGAAGGTTTCGTTGAAGATGATATTACCTCTGGCAACAAAGTCACCTAATGTAGGGTGACACCGTGTTTGCAGCGTGGGACCACGTCCCCCCTTGTTGGATACGTTCAAGGTTTCTGAATGTGGAAGCTTTTTTCCACGAATTTCTAGCGATATTGGTCAGGCTTTTATGGTAGCATAGTCGGCTTTAAGATATTGCCGACCGCGCGGCAACTATGTGTGCCACGTTTTGTAGGCCACGTTGGTACATTGTGACAATTATGTATGCCACACCCATTACATTCATTTTTTCCGTGCATACCTAATTTCCTTATAAGCTTTTTTTGTGTTAGCTGTAAGCTACATTATCATAACCACAAACGACGTGGCTCACAGAATGGTCAAATATGCTTTAGTTTGCAGAGGTTTTCCAGGCCTACGAAAATGTCTGTTTTATTCATTCCTCGTTTTCTTTTCATTAACATAACATGTAGATAAAAAAGTGCATAGGAGGTAATACATGCTTATTCATATGTGCTTCTACTGACCCCCCCCCCTCTCCCGCCGAATAGTTGTGAAACCACTACAGCAAAAATAAATTGAATTTGCCTTTCCATTACCACAGCATGTCATTCAGGCGAATGTTCTGTAACTCCCCATGAGTTGGACGCATTGAAAATTGTTTGAAATATTTGTCGCACAAGTTCTGCATATCTAGAGCTCGAAATTCACGGGTGCGACGTGAGGTGATCGCGCGCGCAAAGCGCCGGGAATAACGTGACCAAAAAAGCCAA